ATATCGCATGCTGAGTCTATCTTGAAATCCAGATTCATGTACATTTTCTATTTTGGGACAAGTGATGTTTCGTTTCTCTAGACATTTGATTTGATATTATTGTCGATAATTCTTGGTGGTTATCCAATTTGGAGAAAGCTTTCATTCAGGAGATCCAGTTCTGCTTCCAGGGCCTGAGGACTGCAGACGTGTCGGATCTGAGTGGCAAGGGATTTAATCAATAGGTACCCAACTGTAGAAACTTTTTAGCTGATCGTTCAAGCTGGTTTTCTATGGATTGACCTTCTTAAGGTTCCGTCAGATTGTCTTGTTAGTTGCACATCAAGAAAAGGAATTTTTGATTCTCATTCCATTTCTAGAATGAATTTTATTGCTGGATTGCAGTTGTTGAATATTTGTAGCCAGTGACTTTGGTTGTAATTAATGTCGCATATGACGAAAATGTCATCTGCTTATCGTTTATACAATTGTAGATCGTCAATAGACGAATTGAGTATGCCGTTCTAAAGGCTAACCATGAAGCAGTCCGCTAGTCTACTTGACATTTGTGAATACAATAATTAAAAAAATAAATACGTTTATCAATCCAGTTTTCAAAATTGGCTAGTTGATTCAAGTTGTCGCTTTTAATCAACTAAATTCCGTTAGTTATGCGGTGTATCCATCAACACTCTGCATATAATGTGAGTATGCTTCATTGTGTTTAGTGTACAGTGTTGCGTTAATTTATCATTGAAGGTGTGAACACAGCTCACCTGACTTGGTCAGATAAGAAATCAGGGAGTCGCAGTAATGGAATGGTCTACGAGCTCGTTCAAATCCTAGGGTCTGTGTACTGATGAAGAGCTTCAAAATAGGACGAAACAACTGGCTGTCCAGTAGTCCAGTGCTGGTTTTCCAATAGTTCTCTAACTGATGTCATTTCGTCATCAAGACTGTAACCAGTCGAATTCTTACAAAACAACACTGGATTATGTAAATTTGAACAGATCCGATGTTCACTAGAGACTGATTGTATACAGGAAGTTACTTGGAGTTCTAGTGAGCGGGGTCCATCCATCGCGCTATATATCGCGAATTAGCGGAAGTTGGAATTAAATCTCTCTGAGATTCTCAAACCAGTATGTATCACTTGAGATGGCTAGATCAGGTGTTACGCATGTCGCTGAGCTACTACCGCCTTTCTCATCAAGTAATATATTAGCTGGCATAGAATTGGGTTGGAAAGGTGTTAAGGGTATGCAAACCAATACCTGATATCAGTTTCTGGAGTCTTTCACAATTAGAAAATCAAAATAAATGATTCAGCGAAGAGACTCCCTTCAGTGCATTTATTATCAAGCTGTACAATCGTATACATATATGGTTCTTTTTAAGAAATATTTTTGATATTAATCATAGTTAAATGTCAAGTGGTAAAACAATTAATGTCATATATAGAATAATTCATAAGTTGTATAAATGTTGGAAGGGGTGTTGTGCAATTATAGGATTAGTAGGCAAAAGTAGAATAAAAATTAAGAACATTGCGTAACATTGCGTGAAATTTGATAGCATAGAATTTAATGTTGTAAAACAAAATCGATTTAGAATGACAAGTGGGACGAGTGAAATAATACCGGGGAGAATTCAAAGTGAGAGTAGTAATAGTAATAATTGATGTAATAAGGAATAGAATACAAATTGAATAGACAAAATGAAAAATTGGTAGAGCCAAAATATCAAATTGGAATTACCATACTTTAGCATAAAGGGATTAAGATCATGAGAGTTGGAGGGGTTGAACGAACTTTTTCTGTAAACATTGATCTGGTTTCTCTATTTCGATGGCCAAAGATGGTTTCAGCAACACAGATGAGTAGGATACGTAGTGATTTGGGCAAATTACTTTTCGTCTTGTAGATAACTTCAAAGGCGGAGGCTGTACAGATAGAGTGGTCATTACCGACCAGATGTTCGATTATGGTGCTTCTTATTGCTCCACTCCCACCTCTTCGTAACCACTCTACAGGATAGTGTTGTTGCACCCTCTTGGACAAAACCCGAGTCGAATGATCGATATCCCTAGCTCCACACGTGCAGGTGAATTGATAAATGCATATAGAGTTCTTCAACTGCGGGTTCTTATCCTTCAAGAGACTATTAAACAGTAATGGTCGCCTGGAAAACGTTATTCTCAACGATGCAGCAGGGAAAATATTTTTCAGGGACTGTGAGATCCTTCTTTTAATGATATTGAAAGCTAAGTCACCTTTGAATTCCAAGCTCATGTACAGTATTTTCTTGGTTACAGATGATAAGTCACACTGCATAGGATTAGACTGTATATTCTTGTTTATAGAACTTGGCGGGAATGGTTCTCAAGTCTCTAAACTGTAGGTCGGTGTGTAAAGGCAAATACAGAGAAGAAGGACAGATATATGATAATATTATGGTGAACAAATATGTGAAGCTGTGTAGTGATTTTGATGATTTCAGTGATAACCTTTGCATACACTTGCGTTATTTTCTTCGAAAGTTTCCAACCATTGATTCTAAGTATAACTAAATTCCAAGTAGAATGACCAACAACTCATTTGGACTCCTAAATTTTTATTCCAACTTAATTCTGCTTCAACCGGTATTGCATGTGTGACATGTGCTACTGATACGATCTATCAGTAGTATATAAAGAAACATTTATTAGCATAAAAACATGAAATAGCACAATTGGTAAAGGAATGTATATTTGGAATTTGGTTTCTCTACTATATAGCCAAATTATGTACACCTTATTTTCCTCAACGCACCGTTTGCACCGATCTTCCGTGTTGTGCTACTTGTCTGCTCTTCCTTCATATTGTGTGCGTTTCTTTGTGTTACTTTCACGTCTCCCATGTATCTCTGGAAGGCTTTATCATTTTCTTTCTCTGAAATCAAATCTGTCTCCCTGCTATTTGATGTCTTTTATGCCGATAAGTTATGACTTTAAACTTATAAAGTGCAATATAACAGACAAACAAACAAACTAACGAGAACTAACAATGAATATTTTGTCCGTACTATCGATCATGTAGACTACTGATAAATGCCGCCCATTCTGTTTTGTTAATACACCGAATAAACTATGTTTGGTATGAAGCAACTAGTTAGTGTGTAAAGACTTCACACTTTACTTTATTATCGAACTATGAGTAGATCATTGACAGACACTCAAGTTTTTTATACATAGTCTGTTCCCCTGAACATAACTTTGTCATCTGTATACACGTAGATCAACCAACATTTATTTTCCAGAAAAGTCACTGAACAGCTTCCTATGAGTACGAAGTAAAGTGGTGGTGAGGTTGGGGGTGGAGGGTTAGGGATTCATTCATGTGCGCTTCTTTAGGTGTGTGTGTGTTTGTGTGTGCCTACTGAACAGCGTAAGGTTGAAAATAATGTGACACTGTCAACAATGAGAGAGAGAGCTAATCAACTAATTATTCTGTGAAATAACTAACTGCCCTTCGGGCATCTTTCACAATACTACAGTTAAACAATTTTATGTTTGATACTAAATATCGATTCATTATTATGAATTGTATTGAAAAACTTTAACATCTATATATATGTCCAAACCAAGTTCACTTTTAAAAGTTTGAAAAAACATTTGGTTATTGGGTATATTTTCTATAGTTTGGTTTGTAAGAGTTAGTTATGTTAGAGAACCATTGAAAACCAGGGAGTACTGGATAGCTGTTTCATCTTAGTTTGGGAATCATCGGCAGTACGCACCCACCACAAGGGTTCGAACCCAGGACCTTCCGGTTACAAGGCTAGCAAGCTCGTATATCATAGCGAGCATCAGATCAATTTTCTATAGCTTGGTTTGTAAGAGTTAGTTACGTTTTTGTATTTCCCAATGAATGAAAAACAAAACGATGTTGTTTTTACTGACGTTTCTCTATTTAATGCTAATAGCTTTATCAACGTATTATTAAACCGAAATTTACAAATTCTCAGTATATATATAACAAAGAGTTAAGAGGTGAGAAAATAGACTACTTAGGTCAAGTTAAAGGGACATATTGAAAGTCAAAATTAACAATGAAGATCACTAAACCAAATAACAAAGGTAATGGTACATCTGTTATGATATCAAAATAAAGTCTGCTAACTTGATCTTCGTTCGTCAGTATCCGGTCATTTTTCGTTGTCAAGTTGGCCAATTAGTAAAGATAACAAAACCAAGTGTAGATTGTTGGATTTGATAAGTATGTAAAATTATTAAACAGTGTGTTTAGATAGTGAACTTGCTTATCACATTCGTGTTGATTTTGTCACTTCATCGGAGAGGGAGGTGTTGTAACCAGGTCAGATTCTGTTTTAGTCCATCATTCCTATTCAGACAATTTGGATTCCACTTGATATGAAGTGCTTCTGATGACGTGAGACGTTCTTTGTAATTTCTGAAATGCTTCTGGATTATTTCAATATTGTCAAAATCAATTTTGTGACATGATTCTATAGTGACGCGTGTAGACAACGAGCTATGGCTGATGATTTTTCAAGCTTTTTTAGTTCACTATCTGGAATTCTCGATGGTTGAACAGAGGTAGCTCTACGGTGTTCATTTCTCCTGATCACTTTGATTTCTCCAGATGTTTGTCCGATGTATATCGCATCACATTCCCAACATTTTATTTTATAGACACAATTAGATAGAGAATCTTTAGGGATTTGGTCTTTTTATATGGACAAAGTTGTTTCGCAGTGTGTCTGATGTTTTGAAGAAAACTCTAATGTCGAGCTGATTGAGTACTCTTCTGATATTATCTGACGTCTCTGATGGTCTATATGGAATAACGACTGTTGAGGTCCATATTTTCGGAATGCATTTTCGACCAATCTTTAATGTCAATAATACTGTTTCCTTATATGTATGTGTGAGATATTATCCAAGTTTTACGCACATGTATATGTACATGTATATTCACATTTAATCCTGTTATATTTTCCCATTCTAATTTCACGCCTAGATTCAATCAAGATCCATCAATCGATATAATGTTGTTGACAACAGCTGTTGGTGGATTAGGCTTGAATTTAACCGGTGCGGATACGGTTATTTTTGTTGAACACGATTGGAATCCGTGTAAAGATCTACAGGTGAGTGTGTTGTGTTTTAAAGCAACTGAAATTATACTTTTAAAATATATAAATATGTATGTATATATTTGTGTATGCTAAGTTGACTGCCTGTCTGCCTGCCTACGATTGACTGACTGGTTTCAACTCAGAACTGCTTTGCACAGATGTGCAGCAGTCGCAGTCGCCACACACCCTCCGAGTAGCACATAAAGCAAGAGAAGAGAGTAAACAGAACAGATTCAAAAGAGAGGGAGAGAGATAATAAACAGAAGTGTGAGTGAGGGAAAAACAATAGTAGCATGGAAGAAGAATAGAGTTTTATTCGATATTATAAATCACAAAGAGTGAATGCATACCTGCACCAGCCATTGAAAACGACAATTTTCAGCCGTATCACCATTTGTCTCCTGTCGCCACCATTGGTTTTTACTATCCCGAGGACCACAACCAGTGAGTGAGGAAGTGTACACCGCCCTACATGGCTGCCCAGCTGGCCTCCTGGCTTAAAATAACTGTAGATTTATTTCATTGACTGATGAAGTCACGTTTTCGTTCGACTGACCACCACCACTAGCCAACTCTTTTCCACCCTCATTCACCCTATGTCAGTCAGTCAGTGAGTAACATTGTCGGTTGTCGAGGAAGATGATCGACCTCTGGCTAGTCTAGGCTAGTTATGAGTAACACATGTCCCCCTGACCATCTCTTTCAATCGATGCAGCCAGCTTCACAACCTCGTCGATTGGTTTTCCCCTCCAACTACTCACCTAGCACTCGACAGATCCCTGACCTGAATATTGGTTACCCCGTTATACCACCTAACACATACAGGAGATAAATCACAGGTAGACACCTATGATCAAGGGAAGCTTTGAAACTTAATAATTACCCTGATAAATTAGTCAGAAAGTATGTAGGGAAATATAAAAATAAAAATAAAATAAACAACGATAGCAGTGGTAGTGATAATAGTAATAATGAAGATTATGATAATAATAATAATAGTAGTAACACTAATTGACGACATGCATGTCAAACATACGAAAGATAATGACAACACCAACAATAAGGAATCTAAATCATCAGTAGTAATTCCATAAAAGGAAGGAATCTCGGAAACCTCACGGCGGAGAATTTTTAACAAAGCAGGAATAAAAGTGGTTGGCATTCAATCACCCACAAACTCGATTAGAAACAAGCTTTGTCGGTTAAAGGAGTCAATTGAACAAAACAACTAAGTTTATCTAATACCCTACTGGGATGATTGTCAGGTCAAATACATAGATGAAACTAGTAGAACAGGGGTATTCAGTCAGACTAGCTGAGCATAAAAACCTAGCAGCAAAATCTAGATTAGTTCACCCGCATAATAAGATAAGAAATCTAGAGAGTAGTTAGTTCAGCTATAGCACTCACTACATGCAATTACACACAACCATACAGTAGGATGGTGGCCTAAGATGACAGTTTTAAAATCTAATCTAATGTCACAGGGTGGAGGGAGAGATTGATAACAACGGAAGCTTTATTTATCGAATCAACTGCAAATATGTGTAATAGGAATGATTCAACACCTGTTCACCCAGATATCTGGAAAATTCTACTACCCCTACGACAACAAATAGGAGTGAAGAAAGAAAACTATAAAACTGAAGTTTTAAAGTCGTGTGATTATAGTTGATTCTATGATTATGAACGGTAATAAATTTTGTTCGAAACCTTGTCATCCAGTAAATAATAATACTGTTTCTTCACTGTGTGTGATACATCTAATAAGCAAACTAATATGGTATTACTTACTGCCACATTGCCCAAGTTTTACATATATATCCATCCCGTGGAGTAACTCAAGCAATACGTGTCGTATTGCTGGGTTTATGAGGGATAGGTAGGTAATATGAAAAAACAGACTGTACTCTTCTGTCACATTCACCTCAATATGCTTGTCGCTCATCATGTAGTCACTCCTCTCAACAGGTGAGAATGTAAGTCATATATTTTTGATTGAACACTAGTCAGTAACTAGTGTAATGTGTCTAGTCCTATCTTCGGTGAAGACTGAATTCTATCTATGCGGGTTCGAATCTCAGAAGGGACATCAGTTCCTTCAAGGTTGCAGATACGCCTTGCTGATGAGTGCCAACTAGCACGAAACCTAGGTCCAAGGATTCCTGCCGATTGCCTCCAACCATCTAGTACCAGTAAGTCATATATGTTAGGAAGAAACCTAATAATAATAATAAAGATTTACTTTATTCCAAAAACTCGCCTCTCTCACTGTAAAGAGAGCTCATTTCAAAGATGTAACTAAGCCAACAATTTATTTTATCCTTTTCTGTTTGATCTTACAACGTGCACAATGTCGAATGAAGTGATTGTGCTGGCTTGTGTCCTGTATCTTTTTCAAACGCTCTAACTATTCTCTCCTTTGCGATTCAAGCTGTCTGAGTAGTGAGTGAACCTCTGTACTCATCCATCTGAATGATTTCTGCCTGCCCGACGTCCGAAGGGATACACCACCCTAGACGTCGTAACCTGCGGAGCACCGGAGCAGAAGCTCAAAGCATCTGACTGATTCTCTTTTTTGTAGATTTTGGGACGTCAGCCAATAAATTGTAGCCGACTGTCCCGTGCTCAAATATTATGCCTCTGAAATGTCTTGATTACCATTCCACCCAGTCATTTTAGTGTAATGAACTGGTCATCATGTACATAGGATGATGGAGGCCCTTTTTATAACTTGTACAAGCGACACAGTCTGTACCTGGCTATTTTCCGTATACCTTAAATCAAAACTACAATTTGACAATGTTACATAAAATGGACTCAGGACATGGTTTATTAGTGATTTGACTATGTGGATGTCAAAATTTTGTTGACATTTTCATGCACTGCTATATTTTCAAGTGATGTATCACTAGTTTTTGTTGTTTTGTTGGATTCAGTAAACTACTTATAAGCGCGACGGTTTTCAGTAGTATATAGATTCATACGAAATAAATACGCCAAAATTGGCTTTGTGGTTCACATTTAAAACAAACAATATAGAAGTAATTTATCTAAAGTAGCAAACATCTCTTAGGATAAATGAGATTCTATCCTGTGGGCCTGATTATCCCGGAATCATTTCTAACAGGCTACTGTAGACGTCCATCAACAACTGTGTTTGCTGTCTCCATACTGGAGATTAGATGGCTGGAAGAAAGAATAAGCGATAAGGTATTCTGGCAAAAACTCAACGAAGAACTCATTGCTCAGCATATAAGCTGATGAGGCGTCTGAACGGCATCACCTGTCAGACAGGGCCTAATATAGAAAATCTCTTTTGGTAAACGGCGAATTAATTGTCTATGCCAGAGTGACATCGAGGAGATCTGGTGGTTAGGCGGAGTAAATGAAAGCAAACGGGTAGTCGGGAGGCAGCTAAACAAAGGTAGTAGAAAACAGAGTGAAATGGATAATTAACACATCTGTGAAGCCTTATCTTTCACTCGGAACCGGGGTACTGTGTAAATTGCCAACTATGAATTTGATTTATGCAGTTTCTTAAGTCGAAAGCAGCAACTCACTGAGTGTGTTGCTACAACACAATCGATTGCATTTTTTTAAAAGTTGTTAGTGTTAGTTTTCTTAGCATCTTTGTCATATTGGAAGGGGGAGTGAATGATGATGGATTAGTTGGTTAAAGTATTTGCGTTAGAGTTTTCACCAATGAGAGAGTTGCTTTTTCATTATTTGGTCTCTCACACATTGTGTTTATCATGTTATTTATAATATATCTACATATGAATTACGTCATGGTGTTATTTTCCAAGGATTGTATTTTTCATCAACTACCTTATCAATTACCCCCAGCTGGTTTTCCAACGGTCCTCTAGCTGACGTCAGTTCATGATGAAATCCTTGAAAGATTGTGTTCTCTGAATACTAGTTTATCATTCGACAATAGAGAAAGCTGTAAACAGTTCCTGGATTTAACACTTGCGCAACCACACACACACACACAAACATGCAGACATACCTACCATTCGCACACATTATTAAGTATCATCATTCTGTGAGGTTCCGATTGGAACATAAGGCTTCCACAGCACATCTCTATTTCATCCTGCTTTCTATAGTCCTCTTCAGCTGGCTCCACGATTGCCCATAATATTTTATCTCGGCGAACGATCTAATCCATTTCTTCCCCCTCTCGCCTTCGTGTTCCACTCGAGGGTATGACACGCAGTGTTACTCAACAGTCTCCTTAGTGTATGTGTCTGATCCATATCGATTTTCTTTGGCATGTTTCTTCAGCGATAGATTGTTGGTTGGTTTTGCTTTTCCGACCTTAGCTGGCTATGACATCTTCATGTGGGCCACCCGCTTATAGTTGGAATGATGCTGCTTAAATAACTCCCTTTAGATTTCTCTCTTTGATGGTGGTGTTGACTCTTCTTGTTGTTGATGACGTATGCTCATTACCTCTATCTTCTCCATATTCACCTAAAGTCCTTTCTTCACTAGCTGTCCTCTTCTGCCAATTTGTTAGTTTTCACCTATACATCTTCGAGTTTGTGACACTAGACGTAAATCCTCCACGAAGTCTATATCTTCTAGAGAGTCCTCTTGTCAAAGCCAACGGGATTCAAGTGCCGGGGACTGTATTCCATATAAGTTTGTTTATTAGATATATGACACAGTGAAGAAACAGTATGAATATTTACTGGATGACAAGGTTTCGAACACAATTTATTGGCGTTCATAATCATTCCATCAATTATAATCACACGACTTCGAAACTTGGGTTTTATAGTTTTCTTTGTTTTCTCCTATTTGTCGTCGTAGGGGTAGTAGAATTTCCCAGATGTCCAGGTGGGAGTCATTCCTATTACAGGTATTCGCTCTCAATTGATTCGATAAACAAAGCTTTCGTTGTTATCAATCTCTCCCTCCGCCCTGTTATATTAGATTAGATTTTAAAACTGTCATCTTATCCCATCATCCTATTGTATGACTGTGTGTAATTGCATGTAGTGAGTGCTATAGCTGAACTAACTACTCTCTAGATTTCTTATCTTATTATTCTGGTCAACTTATCTACATTTTGATGCTAGGTTTTTATGCTCGGCTAGTCTGACCGACTGCCCCTGTTCTACTAGTTTGACCTGACAATCATTGCAACAGCATGGTATGAGATAAACTAAATTGTTTGGTTTCAAAAAGGCTACACAGGATTAATCCTTTAACCTACAAAGCTTGTTTCTAAATGAGTTTGTGGTTGGTTTGAATGCCAGCCACTTTTATTCCTGCCTGCATTGTTAAGAATTCTCCGCCGTAAGGTTTGCTTGTTTCTTTTCTTGTACGGAATTACTACTGATGATTTAGATTCCTTCCCTATTGTTGGTGTTGTCATTATCTTTCGCATGTTTGACATGCATATCGTCATTAATAGTAATATTATTACTATATTACTACACCACAGTGCTGCCCAAGTTTTACATATATATATATATATACAAAGGGAGGGAGGGAGGGATGGAGGTGGACTGTGTAATTTGAGTTATAGAATTATTTGAGTTGAAAACACTCAGAAACTCTCTGAGTGTTGCTACAACAGAATTGATTGAATTTTTTAGTTGTTATTGTTAGTTTTCTTAGCATCTTTGTCATATTGGAAGGAGGAGGTGAATGATGATGGATTACTTGGTTAAAGCATTTACGTTAAAGTTTTCACCAATACGATAGTTGCTTTTCCATGGTTTGGTTTCTCACACAATGTGCTTATCATGTTAATGTTATAATATCTGTATAAATATGAATTACGTTATAGTTCTTTTTCATCAACTACCTTATCTCTTCTTGTTTTTTATTAATGATAATAATAATAATAATAATAATAATAATAATAAAAGAAATCTGTCTATCGAGGCATTTTGATTTTGAGTAAAAAAGGAAAACTGAGAATTGTGTATCTACTGTGTGTTTGTGTATTCTCATTGATTCTGTCATTCGTCTATCAACACTTTGAGTAGAGTCGATCATCTCCACCCGCCACCCCACCCCACCCTACCCTACCCCCCATCACCGCCTAGTTCACACAACACCACTTACATTATAGCAACAAAAAAATAAAAACATTTATCATCAATTGACTAGACATATGTATATATATGTATGATTAATTGTTTACGTCAGTAATACCACTTCGACTCTGCTTTAATCTGAAACGATAATATAGTCTCATTGTGTGTTTAAGCAGATATGTATGTGTGTGTGTATTTGTGTATAATATATGTGGTAGTATCATCAATAAACTCCAGGGATGTCCTCTAATCAATGTCAGTTCATAATGAAATCCTGAAACCAGTCAAATCAAATCCCTGCAAACCAACACTTGATTTGAATAGCTGTGTGATGCTCACTAGCGGTGACTGTGACCCTATTCAGGTAGAGCCAGTCGAGTCTGAGGACAAGTGATTTACTGAATGACTGACTGACTGACTAGTTTCAGCATAGAACTTTGTAAGGATGTGCAGCAGACCGAGTCACGGCGCTGCCTCCATGTAGCACATAAAGCAAGAGATGAAAGTAAAAAGAAATGCAAAATGGAGACAGTAGATAGGGATATGAGGAATAGTAATAACGAAAAACAATATAGTTTCATTGGGTTTTATAAGTCACAAAGAGTTGATGCATCTGCGCCATTGACAACGAAGATTTTCAGCCATATCACCATTTGTCTCCAGCCTTCATTGGTTTTTACAGTCCCGAAGACCCCAATCAGGAAGTCTACACCTTCCTCCCTCCGTGGCTTAGACTAACTGTTGTAGATTTCATTGACTGATGAAGCCATGTTTTGGTTTGACCGCCGCTAGCTCTTTTCCAGCCTGGCCCTATATCAGCTAACATTGCCCGTTGTCGAGGAAGGCGATGACTAGGCATACATAGCGCATGTCCTAACCATCTCAGTCGAAGTAATTTCACAGTCTCGTCGACTGATTTCCCCGCCTTACCTAGCACTCGACCGATGGCCTAACCTCAACATTGCTCACCTTATTATACGACTTCACGCGGGAGATAGAACGCATACACCTATGGTCGAAGACAGCTAATCTTTTCATGTCTTCTATTGAAACAGCATTATTTACTGGATGGCAAGGTTTCTAACAAAGTTTATTGTTCACAATTATTTGATCAATTATAATCACACGACTTCGAAATCTGAGTTTTATAGTTCCCTTTGTCCTCTCCTATTTGTCGTAAGGGTAATAGATGCCATGTTCTAGTTTGACCACGATTGGTTCTTTTCCAACCTGGCCCTATGTCAGCTAACATTGTCCATTGTCAAGGAAGACGATGGGTAAGCACACATAACACATGTCCTAGCCATCTATCTCAATTGGTGTGACTTCACAACCTCCTCTATTGATTTCCTCAATATTCCTCACCCTATTATACCACTCCACACGGGAGATAGAACGCAGGTACTAATGATCATAGACAGCTAGTCTTTTCATGTCTTATACTCTCAATGGCCAGCTCTCACAGCTATAAGGAGGACGGGTCGGACTGATGAACAGTACACCCGCCCTTTGGTCAATAGTCAGCCGGATATCACGTCTACTAAGCCAGAGACGGTGTAAACTGGCATATATGAACGGAGCCTTCTCTATTCGAGCTGAGATTTCGTCAGCGATCAACGCGTTGGCATTTGCTGATGCAACTTCCTAAATAAGTGAAGTGGTCAACACGCTCTACCACTTCACTCCCTATTTCTAAGCTATGAGTCGATGTAGTCCAGTCCAGTCGTGTAGCATCATCTTACATTTGGCGGGAGCACAGGACAAATACTCGCCACATATGCCATTGGCTAGTACACTCCCGCTATATCGTGCGTCAACTGGCAGAAGTTCAAATTCATGCCGGTCCCAGTGATTGACTTAATGGTCCACGGACTAACCGGAAGATCCTGGCCTCGGAACTTGGCAGGGAGTGAGTGGGTGCATACTGCTGAAGAATCGCAAACTAGTCTGACAAAACAGCTGGCTGTCTATCCTGAAGCCAATAAAATCGCTGCAAAACAACACCTTTTCACAATATGTTATTCAATCTCTCTCTCTCTCTTATTTTCTTTTCTGCAGGCAATGGATCGAGCACATCGTATCGGTCAATCACGTACAGTGAATGTCTATCGGCTGATTACTGAAGACAGTATAGAAGAACAAATCATGAATTTACAAGCATTTAAATTACACTTAGCTAATACAATCTTGACTACAGATAATAAAAATATTAATGAAATGGATACAGAACATTTATTCGACCGACTATCTTCTTACAGTAATAATAATAATAATAATAGTAATGAAGAAGAAGTACAACACTCGCGAGATAACCATCATCAATACGATAACGGTCAGAGTGGATTTGCTCTCCTAGATGAACTTGAAACCTGTTATGAAGTTGAATATAATTTAGATGCTTTTATTGCTCGATTAAAAACTAACTAACTAATTAAACATAAATGTTAATCATCACTAAGTGAGAATCTGTTTTTCACATTGTTTCTTGGTTCTCCATCATCATGTTTCCTTGTTTCCTCGTTCGTTTGTTTGTCTGTTTGTTCGTTCGTTCGTGTTTTTGTTGCTATCCTATCTAATCTATAGTGTGTGTTTATACACTGACGCCTAGATCTGTTCCTCCTTTGCGTGTTTGTTTGTGTGTGTGTGTGAGTGAGTGAGTGAGGTTATGCACAGGCTCACTCATTTCCCCGTGTTCCTCTCCCTCTATCTGAAGAAGAAACGGAGAATATCTCATCTAGTGCATTTCTCCCTCTCTCTCGCTCTCTCTCTATCCCGCTCGCTGTGTGATCCTCTCACCAGTTGTGTGTGTGTGTGTGAGTGTGTGTATTTCGCCTCGGATTATGCTACACACAGACACACACACACACATGCACCTTCAGAAATTGAACCTAAATGGGATGGATCTTCTTCCTCTTCCATTTTAGTTGTTTATTCAGATCGTCTCCTTTTCTCTCTCTCTCTCTCTCTCGTGTGTTATTTCCTCTTAGAAGTATCTCATTGTAAGCATTATTTATCAATATTAATGTTATTCCTCTTACAACGTATATTATTGATATGTCACATTGTGTTAAAATAAAACATGCATATATATATTATATATGCGTGGTTGAATATATAAATATATTTTATGATGTATACTTGTTGAACTCATCAAAGCGTCGTGGTGCTACATTCAAAGCCCCCTCACTCTCTCTTCGTGTTTATTTATCTGATTGAGAGTGTGTGGGTGGGTGTGAGTTGGAAGTTGGATGGTGTAGAATGCTTTGCCAACCACACATGTGAGTGTGTGTAGTTTGGGGTCAATTCCTGGCTGCGGTTGAACCTCACTCAGTTTCTCAGGCAATAATAGTAAGCTCGGAAGGTTCGGTGTGTGATACTAGCAACATCATCCCGATGTTCCAGTTGGAATGGAAGAGAACAGAGATTTAGTGGAATAATGAAATGTAGTAGAGGGGGAACATGAGTGACGGTAAAGTGTGTGAATGCATCTGCTCTATTGTGGTCGGTCTCTAGCTGTATCTATCACCAAATCTTCAGGTGTTGCGTGTCTCAATATATAGAGAAGATTTGAAGCTCAGGTTAGTGATGATTTGCAATTAATAGTGTTCTCTGATCTGGTTTGTTTAGTTGCGTCGTCCACCCCTTCTGGACAACATCTTTAGCAATTGGATCGCCCATATCAGGATTAATAGCTGAAGCCGTCATGCAAAGATTAGAATTAATAACTCTCCCTACCCATAATTAAACCGAAAATCTGGATACGTTACGTTGATGGTACATTTGTAATAATTAAGAGAAATGTGATATGGAATATACCCATAAATTAATAAACAACATATTTGAAGACATCAAATTCACAAGAGAAGAAGGATTATATTAATAAAATCCCATTCTTAGATGTCTTAGTCAGGAGAACTAACACAAGAAATTTAGAAACACAAGTATATAGAAAATCAACACACACAGATCAAATACTCAACTATACTAGCAAAAGTCCAATTACTCACAAAAGAAACTGTGTGTAGACATTGTTTAAAAGAGTTCAGACACGTTGTAGCACTGCAGAGTTGAAAAGAATGGAAGAAAAATACCTACAAACGGTCTTCAAAAAGAATGGATATCTCCCTCACAGTTTCATCAAAAAGTGTTTAAAATCGAATCACAACACCAACAATGAACCATCATCAAAGAACACAAGAAAATTCATTCTACCATGTAAAGGAAAAAATATCTCTGAAATAACAGCTAAAATATTGAAATCGTTTGATATAGATATAGCACACAAGCCAGTCAAATCACTTAATTCGATATTGTGTAAACCGAAAGACCCAACAGAAAAAGGAGATGAAATTAACACCATTGACAAAATAAATTGTATGAACTGTAAGAGGCATTACATCGGCCAAAGTGGGCGTCCCCTACGAATCATAATCCAAGAACACAAATCAGTTGTGAAAAGACATGATATATATTCTTTCATATCAGTTTGATTGGGATAATGTCGAAATCTTAGACAGAGGAAACACCAAAAGTGCAGTCAGGGAATTCCTAGAAGCCTGGTACTCAGACGAATATGCGATTAACGAACATGTTAATATAGACGGAATATACGAACTAATAAAAAGTAAATCACATGTGACGAGAAAGTTTAAAATCCAATTCAATAGAAAATGGTCAATACATATGTAAAGATGGTTACCAGGAGACGCAATTCTATCACTCATGGAAAATGTAAATCATTTCACTTTATGCTGAAAATTGCGCTGCAGGGAGGGGATGTTGTCCAGAAGGAGTGGACGACGAAAGCTCCGCAGCTAAACCAACCAGCTCATAGAACATGTTTAATGGCAAATATACACGTGTTATCGAAAATCACAGACAGACAAGCAGTTTACACCAACAATTGACGACTTCATTAGATTGGTGTCGTGTTTATGGCTGTGGGCACTTCTGGATTTGAATAACAACGTTTCCTAGGCCTTCCAGTCGCTAGAACTTCATAACCTTACCGATTAACACTTTCCGCAGTATTAACTTCCATATTACTATTGCTTATATTTCTTCATGTAAAAGTTGTGAAATATACTCATCAATTTAAATGATGATGATAGTGGTGGTATAGTCTAAAGGTGACTAGGAAAAGGATCTCCCTGCCAGTTTTATGCTCGTGATTTGTGATGTTTCCCCACCCCCTAGCATGATCGGAGTGGGACCATAGGTCTTCAAGCTGTAAAATTTCATCAGGAGTGTGGCTGTTTCTACACCTTGAGGTTAACCAGCCTCACACCTAACCGTCTCTCTTTTCTAAGCGCACTACTGGCCAGTGACGTAGCCCAGACCACTGGACTGGTTGTTCAACATCCTTATGTGTGATTACTAATATGTAATCAGGATAATGGGAAAGCAAGGCAAGCTTTCATTACTCTCAAGTCTGTGTGGAGGTCAACAGTATTCAGCATGAAAAATAAGATACGCATCTTCAACTTCAGTGTACAGTCAGTGCTATTTTATGGGTCAGAGACTTGGCGCGTCATGAAGAGCACCTCAAACAAACTACAGAACTTCATCAACAGCTGTCTTCACTCAATACTCAAGGTCAGATGGCCAGCCAGAGAAGATCAGCAGCAATGATATCTGGCACTGAGCGAACCAACCCAGCAGGAACCGATTGTGCAACAAATATGCAAGAAGAAATGAAGGTGGATTGGAGGCCATACTCTGAGAAAACAAACCATCAAGTGAGTGACATCACACGTCAGGCCATCGCTTGGGTGGGCCCTGAGTGGAAGGCGGCGATTTAGTTAGTGGTCAGTGCGAGGGTGATATAGAGGATGTCATATGAAGAAGAGATGAAAGCATGTGGGCAGACGTGGAACCAGGTGAAAACGTTAGCAGAGAACCGAACGCAATGGAGACGTGTGGCTAAAGCCCTATGTTTCTCCAGGAACTAAAGGAAACAATAATAATAATAAATCGGGTAGTTTACGCCTTTTCAACAGTCATTGGATATTTAAACTCTAGACTGTGGGGGGAAGCAAGTAACGTGAAATAAAACTAAGCTATCTAAGATTTGTTTGTGAATATTTTTCATTGCTTGACTCCAAGAAACTCTTTTAGAAACCGTTTCAGTCAAATTGTTCATCAAGCATGTATGTAAATCCATTACAACATGCCTTACAGAGGAATATTCTGACTATTCGCTTACATTTAACTGAGTTTTCAAAAGTGCAGCTGTTCAGAGAGAAAATAATGAAAACCTGTTGGATATAGGTGTTCGTAAAGAGTGAATGCATCTGCTGCACTGAGAACGAATTTGAGTTATTTCACCCCTGTCTCCAGGACCCCAGACAGCTTACACCTTCCTACGTGGCTCACATCAACATCCAAAGGATTTATGCACTGATGCCAAGTAATGGAGCAGTCGCATATCAACTAACCATGCTCGACGAAGAAGGCGATGGTTGGTCATCAGTAAAGATATATCTCAGACATCTCAATCGATGTAGCTCCACAACCTGGTCGATTGAATTTTTCTCCTCACTTAACAGTCTACAACTAATCTTAATATTTTTGATCATATTATACCACTTAACACAAGAGACAGTTGAAAAGAAAATTGAGCTAAGAATATTCCTTTCCGATAATTTCCTCTTCCAGCTCTACAATTATATACACATTTATTTATATACACAGAATATTCTAGAATAATCGTCATTAACAATATTGGTGTTTCGTTTAAATACTATCGATTTGTTAAGATCACAATAGATTTACCACAGTTGAAGAAAGACGCTTAAGTTATAATAAGCACAAAAATGTAATAGTAAATAGAATATCAAATAAAATTAAGGAAATCTCATTAAAACCTTGATGGCCAGACACTGTCTGAACCAACCAACTTCTTCTTTTGGATACATAAGTTAGGTTTCTCAATGTAGATCCCATCAGCCAGTGTCAACAATATGTAGTAGACGAACTCTCAAGGTAAAGTTTCTTGTGTTCTCTATCCACAAGATGAGAGAGAATAGAGCTATGAATGGATTCTTTTGTCTCTTACTTAACTACTATGCAGGATGGTGGTGTTGGGAAATCCAACGATAAACATGCCTAATTGTACGGTCTATGCAACTAACTGGCTCACTCCACAGGAGCAGTCAAATTAGTAGGTAGATACACATAGAAAGAAGAGGCGAAATTAGGCAGTTTACCTGTAACTACTCCTGAAGGGGGTGGGGTGGTTTTGAAGACATAGCATATTTGAGCGACACTAAATGCTCCTCGTTCAACCGTCATATTCCTTAGGCGTTGTTTTAACATTTCACTGATGTTATGAGAAGAAAGCCTTCCTTTTTCAGAACTGTTGGTGCTTTTGCTTGCTCAGGACGGTGAGGGAGAGAGAGACTATTGAATATAGTCAGAATTCGATCGGTTTCTACTGATTTGGCTCTGTCGGCTGAGTCATACCCCGGGTACATGGCTGATGGGCTTGGCTCCAAATCACCTCTCTCTGCCTAGTATGCTACACTAATCTATATGACCGGTATCCAACTACTCACATGAGTAGTATGTAGCATCACCCACTACTGGAGTAACATTAAAAGAAGCCCGTCACTGTCAAGATACACAACTTATCTCCCTTCTCATAAACAGTGAGAATCACTGATTTATACCACCAGTCCAACAGGTAATAGATCGAATTCCCATACATTATTCAGTAATCACTCTTTTGTAAATGGTATTAATTTTATCTTTTCTGTTGGATCTTTCGACCTGCACAGTGTCGAATGAAGTGATTGTGCTGGTTGGCTGGCTTGTGTGCTGTATCTATTTCAAACGGTCTCAATATATTCTGTCCTTTGTAATTCAAGCTGTCTTAGTAGTAGTGGCTTATTGTGAGTGAACCTCTGTACTCATCCATCTGAGTGTGATTTCTGCCTGCCCGACGTCTGGAGGGATACACCATCCT